AGTCATTAAGTACTATTTTTAATATAGATCTTTACATTATACAAAATTGCCATTATTAATTGGCTAATAAATTTTTATAAGATGTTTTTCAAATGTAAGGATTAAAATGAATCAAAAATTATGTTTCTAGCATTTGTAATTAATAAGTTATAAGTGTTTAAAGCTAAAAATAAGTTATTGCATTTCTTTTGTTAGCTATTGTAAATAGCATTAAAATTTGATTTAAATTAATATTAGAATTAGAGTTAGAGTTAAAGTTAAAATTAAGATTAGGTTATTTATAAATAAAATATTATTTATAAATTAGTATTAGGATTAGAGTTAAAGTAAGTTTTAGAATTAGAATTAGATTATTTATAAATAAATCATTATTTTTAAGTTAAGATTAGAATTAAGATTAGGGTTAGAATTAATTGTTTATAAAAAAAATTACTAAATACGAATAAGTATTAAGATTAGAATTAAGGTTAAAGTTAGGTAATCTATTAAAAAACTAATTACAATTAGCATTAGAATTAGGTTGATATTAATTATTTATAAAAATATTATTTATTTTAAATTTATTAAAATTTTACATTTTTTTTATTATAATAATGATCCTAAAATATTGCCTATATAGAATTATTAGTCAATCTTATATTTTAAAGTTTATTAAATTTATTAATTTTAAATATTATTTTTGCTTTTTATAAATTAATTATAAGATATTCATGATAATTTTTTGATAGAAATTACTTATTAAAAATAGGTATCATTTAAATCTTAAAGACTAGTTAAAAACTATTTAATATTCTTAGAGTATTATATAAATTTAAGATATTTAAATATAATGTATATATTCTATTATTAGCTTGACTACATATTTTTATCTTTATTATTTTAAATGCAATCATATTTTTTAATATTTTTACTATTTCTTATATAAAAATTTATATTCAAAATAATAAGAATGACTAATAATATAAAAAAAAAACTATTTACTAAATTTATCAATAATGTTCAATCATATCTACATTGTTTAGATAAACATTAAATTTATATAACTGAAAATACAGTTAGATAATGAATAAAAAAGTTATTTAAAGTTAAGCAAATTTAAATAATATAAAAAATAATAATTTAATCAAATTTTATTATATATAAATTATTAAACTATGTAAACATTTAATTTTTGCCAATAAGTAAATTTGTTTAAGAGTTTAAAATCAATATATTAATAAAAGTATTATTAGAATTGTTATATGAATTCTTTGCAATAAAAAGGGAGAAAACTACCAAAAAATTTTTTTTTTGCTTGATAAGCTAAATATTATTTTTTTAATAAAATAAGTTCAGATTTAATATTAATTCAAAAAAAATTTTTTGGTAGTTTCTTTCCTTTTTATTGCAAAGAGCCCATATATTTAAGCATTTTATTTTGAAATTATTTTAATTATATTATATATATTTTTGAAAAAATTATATATAGATTATGTTAATATTTTTATTTTAATTGACTAATTTTAAAGATAAACTATTTAATTCCCTAATAATAATATTAAATATATAAGTTTATAAGTTAATTAATATATTAAATTATATAAATTGATAAAATTTTATAAAATTTAAATAATGATTATATAAATATTTGGTAGTTTAAAAGAAGAAATTATTAAAAAAAATAAAATTTATTATATATGTTAATTATAAAATTTAAATTTAAATATTAATGTAAAAAAAATTTATGATATACTATAAAATCTTAAATTTAAGCATCCCTTTTTATAATCATGTAATGGATAAAATTAATAAGGATGCTTAATTTTGATTTTATACTAAAATTTTTTTTTTTAACAAAATATTCAAATTAAAATTCAAATTTTTTTTTTTATTTTTCTCAATATTTAATTTTATTTTTAAAGTTTTTTTATATCAGTTTTTTTATTGGATAAGAAGAGATATTTTTTATAAATTATATTTTATCACTTTATCTATTCTAATCTCAGTGTTTAGGGTTGTATAAATAGATTTAAACATTTTTTATTTTGGTTTTTTTTTATCAGAAAGGAAGGGGTGGGATGGTATTTTTTATTATTTTTTCAATTTTTAAAAAAAAAATAAATTTTTTTTACGAAATTTGATTGCTCTAATACCCTAATAACTATCCTACCAATTTTACTTAACTTTTTAATAGAATTTTATTACTCTAATACTTAAATTACTAGCTTACAAATGTTATCCAAGAATAATACTTTTTAATGAACTTAAACGAATAGACTAAATACCAATATTTAAACTTTAGAACTGAACTCAATCAGTTTTTTCTTAATTTTTTTTTTATCCTCAATAACTAATTTTTTTATCCTTGATTTGTTGAATAACAATTTTTTTTCTTTTTGTAGGATTCATTTAATCTCGCAATATTATCATAGGCTTTTCTTTTGTCTCTTAGCATCCTGTTCATATAGATCTTAAGTTTTTCTTTTCATAATCTGTCTAGTTGTTAGCTTCTGTTTCTTGTTAAAAGTAAGTAATAGCAAACAAAATGTATTTTTTTAATATATTAGTAATAAGAAATATTTTTAATATTTTATTTTCTTTACTTTTAGGACTGGCATGAATTTTTTAATAATATGCAAAAGAAAATTTTTATTTTGAATCAAATTATTAATTGCTAATAATTTTAATATCATCATCTAACTTTTCTAAATTTTCTTTTTTATACTCTTCATTAATTTATCAATTTTTTCATATACTATATCATCTTTTGATCCATCTCATAAATTAGAGATAAAACATTTTTTGAATGAATAAAAGATAATTTGATTTAAAATAGCATCTCAAGCTCTTTTAACCTAGTAACATACATCACTAATCTTTGTTCTTTTTAAGTTACCTGCTACAGTTATACTTGAACCACCTTTACTTATTCATTTATACCATTCATTTTGCAAATTATCTTTAAAAGGTTTATTAATAGATACATCTAATAGTTAATATATACTAGTAATTTTGCAGGAATAATAGCTAACTGAAAATTATGTTGCCTGAATTTAGTTTTAATACTTTCCTTCAAATGATTGTGAAAAGAATCATAAACCATTATGGCAGGTTGTTTTGATAAATTTTCAGATATTTTAATTTTAAATAAAAAATCTATGTAATTTTTCATTAAATCTGAAGTCATCTATTCATTATCTTAGAACTAACAAATAACATCTTTTGGAATAACTTTACCTTGAGGAAATTATTTACCTTTGAAAATACAAATTGGAGAATACTTTGTACCATTTTATAATTATATTAAATTTATTATATTAGTTTTGAATTAATAAATATAAAAATAAAAAAATAAAATTAATACCTGCTGAACAAGTTAAAACTACAGTAAAATGAATTTTATCAATTTCAGTAATATAAATATATATTATTTTATTTCCTTTATTATTAACTATCATATTTCCTGTCATATCAAATCACATTGAGTTTCATTCATATTAAAAATACTATTCAAATCAAAATTGTATTATATTCTTAATCTTATAATAAATTGTCTAAATTCATTCAATTTTTGTTTTATATCTTTAGGCAATTTTTGTGAAATTTTGGTCCTTCTTCTTAATGATAAATCATATTTCTTTATAAAACAATTAATCCAAGAAAGATTTCCTTAAAACTTATATTTTTCTGTTGGATATAATATTTGAATTGAAGGTTCTTTGAAAATTTTAACCATTTGTAATCTTATTGAAATATAATTAATAGCAAGCCCTTTTTTTCTTTGTTTAATTATCTAACTATATAAAAGATTTCTGCTTTAGAATAAAAGCCTTTTCTTTCTGAAGCTTCAGCACATTTTTTTTTTTTTGTTTTCTTCTTCCTATTTATTACTTTGCTTTATCCATCTTCCTATTATTAAAGCATTTAAATTAAAATGCTGCTGTAGTATTTCTTCCATATTCTTGAGCATACTTAACCACTATTAATTTTTTTTTAAATGAATATGATGTATGTTATCTTACACTTACTTTTTTATATGTCATTTTTTTATAAGTAACAGAAAAAAAGATTGATTCAGATAATCAATAAATATCATTTAATTCTAACTTAAAGTGGAAAATTTATGGAAATTTAATTTAATCACACAAAATTATCTTTCATTTCAGTTTTTGGAATAGACAAAATTTTATATTTAAGGTGTTTAAATTTGAGGGTGTTTAATTTTAGTTTATACAAACATTATAGCAAAAGTGATAGAAATGCTTAAATTTAGTAGGTGCTTAAATTTGAGATTTTACAATAGTTTTTTTTACTTTTTGATATAAAAATACCTATATAACAATTATAATAAAGAATTAGTTTATAAAATAAATAAGTAAAAAAAAATATATATATAATAATTTAAGTTAAAAAAAAATGATATTTATAATATTTTATTTAAATAATAAAATAATAATAATAAATAGTTATCATATTATTAATAAGAATACTAATGATATTAAACTATTAAAGTAATTATTATTGAAAGCATATAATTAAATTCCATTTTTTTTTCAAATAATATCTAGAAAAAACGATTTATATATACATTTGAAACTTTATTTTTACTCATTTTACAGGTTAAATATAGCAATAATAATAATTTTAATTGGTGGTTATTTCAAAAGAAAGAAAGATAAACAGAATTTTTAAACGTTGAACTAATGACTTTTATTTAAAGATTTAGCTATTAGTTAAAATGCCATATTGGAATTTAGAGTATACGCATAAAAGTTTCCGGATCAAAAAATTACGCGTCAAAATGTTAAATACCAAAATTAATTTCTCTATAGTGACTAAAGTAATTCCGTAAATAATAATTTGCGTTTATGTAATCTATCATAGTTGAATAAACTTTAAACTTTTAAACAAATCATTATTTGTATGAGAAGCGAAAATTGTTTATTTATCAGAGATTTTTTTTTTTTTTAATTTTTTTTTTAACGAATCAATTTTATTTTCATTTATTCTAAACATTAAATATGAGTGAACTTGAACAAATAACTGATCAAGAAGCTGACGTCCAAGAGTCAGAAGAAGAAGTAAATTTCTTCTTAATATTTATTCATCTCGTATAAAAAAATCTACATATAAATTTATCACTTTTTATGTTTTAGGAACTTTTCTACACAGAAATAGACGAGTTGCAAAACCATGGAATTAACTCTTCTGATATTGCTAAACTAAAAAGTGCAGGGATTTGTACTGTGCGAGTATGTATCGCCTTAAATACTTCATGTGAAGAATTCATTCTGTGACGTTTATACAATTTAATCATTGTGTAAAAATTTAAACGTTTAGGCGATTCATATGACGACCCGCAGAAATCTCTGTAAGATTAAAGGTCTTTCCGAGGCAAAGGTTGATAAACTCAAAGAGACGGCCAGCAAGCTTCAGGTATAAATTGAGTAATAATAATACTATTGGCAAGCCTTATAAAATTATGTTTACATCAATTCGTTATTACTTGGCAAGTCTGCTTCTTTCATGACTGGCACAGAGTATTCGCAAGTAAGAATGAAAGTAATGCATATTTCAACGGGCAGTAAAGCGTTGGACTCGCTTTTAGGCGGTAATTTACTTTTCAGAAAAGTGCTTTTAAATTATTATTACGCATAAATTAGAACTTTTATCATTCTATCGGATAGGTGGAGTTCCCACCATGTCCATTACGGAGGCCTTTGGTGAATTTAGGACGGGTAAGACACAAATCGCCCACACGTTATGTGTTGTCGCACAACTTCCTTCAAACATGGGTGGGACAAATGGCAAGGTACTAATTAATAACTTTAGTAGTCATCATAAATTATTGATATAATACGTGATAAATGTCATCATTTCTTTAATTTAGGCCGCGTTTATCGATACAGAAGGTAAAATTTACGTTAATTATAAAACAATTAAATAAATTTTCTCACATTGCATTATTATATTACTTTAGGAACCTTTCGCCCAGAACGTATTAGGTCAATAGCTGCTCGTTTCGGGATTGACCAAGAAGCAGCACTTGAGAATATTCTTTTCGCTCGTGCCTTTACCTCAGAACATCAGATGGAATTGATTATCGAATTGGCCGCTCGATTTTCGGAAGAAAAAGGAGTTTATAGATTATTGGTATGCATTAAAACCCTTAACGTAATTTGATAAAATTAATTAAAGATTCTTTATATATATAGATAATTGATTCAATCATTGCTCTTTTTCGAACTGATTATGCGGGCCGTGGTGAACTCGCCGAACGGCAGCAAAAGCTGAATATTATGCTCAGTCGTTTGACAAAGATATCAGAAGAATATAATGTAGCCGTTTATATTACAAATCAGGTAATGAAAGCATAAATGTGCGAATGTAAGGTACAAATTTAATTAATAAATCAATCTTTTTAGGTTCAGGCTGACCCTGGTAGCAACATGATGTTTGTGAGTGACCCACGCAAGCCCATCGGAGGTCATGTGCTTGCCCACGCGTAAGTCCCGAGTTCATCCGGTAACACTTATAATTTACAGACATTAACAACTCTCGGATTAAATTTAGATCAACCGTTCGTCTTTACCTTCGCAAAGGTCGTGGAGATGAACGTATAGCAAAGATTTATGATTCACCTGATATGCCCGAGGCCGAATCACGTAAGAATATTAAAAATTATTATTAATTTAGATTCAAAAAATCTGACTAATTTTAATTATGTAAAACAATAGCGTATACTATTTCAGCTGGTGGTATTATTGACAGTTCAGGTTAACGTACCGTAGAGATGCAAAACGTCATTTATTGTCGGCATTATATAATAATTAGATTTAACTCGATAAATTCACAAAATAATTTTAATTAATTACTAACGCTAACGCCAAGTATTATATTTTTATTTACCGTGTGAAAACTTATTATAAAAAAGTTCTTGATTACCAATTGGTACTGAGAAAAAGGAAAAAAGATAAACAGCTTAAAAAAAATTGAACTTGATGATTATTTTTATTATTATTATTATTGTTGTTGTTGTTATTGTTAGTTGTTGCAAATAAACAAATAAAAGGAACGAGGGGGATCGTAGTAAATTTTTTTCACGTGATCGTCATTTTTTGATGAAATAATGATTTATATTGATATAATCTACAAAAAGCAAATATTACATATATCGTTATTTACCATAATCTTCACCCATGTGATGGTTAAAAATGGTAGTATTCTTTGTCTTGATTATCAGCATTATATGAAAATGTGGAGAAATAATAATAATGTGTATGCATGCGCTTTGCCGCATAACGAATTTTCAAGAACGTTGTCATAAATCTTTTGTACAATAATCGCAAGTCATAATTTTTAGAATAATGAAAGTTGGAAGAAACCTTCATCATCATAATGATAAAAAAAAAATTCCCAAATGTTACAAAATCATTAAATGTTACAAAAAAAATTAAGATTTCCGACAAATTCCAATGGTACACGTATGAATGGTTTCACCATTTATATTTATTTATTCTTTTTGTTCTATTTTTTTTCGTTTAGATAATTTAATCTTAATCTCCAATGATTTCATGGTGATTGGACCTTTCGAATTCTTTCTTATGGATGAGGTTAACTTAAAGTAGATGATTATAAGGATTGACTCAGAGAAATGTTGAATTATGTGAAGCTGACGTCACGATGAGAAGAAAAAGGGACTGCGCAAATCGGTGGAGGGGAATTTTTTTTTTTTCACGCCAAAAAATTTCAAAAACAACGAAATCGTACGGATTTGCATTTTTTTTTTGTTTATACTTCCCTAAAAAATTGCAAACCGTAGAATAATGTGAACTGAATATGGTTTACTCTGGTGAGTGACGCAGTGCATATACTCAAAGCGTCCTTACCATGATGATAAATCTTACGTTTTATTTTAGGTTGAATAATAATAGAACACTATCGGTTTTTCCCATTAGCGTAAAAAAAAAAAAGATTTGTTTTTTTGACCTGGGACCGTATACCATGCTTACATTATACATAACTTATTGCTTTATTTGTTTATGGTTACTTTAAAAAAATTTTTTTTCAATTGATAATTATAGGTAACTTGAAACTTTGATCATATGTAATTATTAGAATGAGTCATTGCGTAATCACAAATTTATTTTTATTTTATTTTATATTTATTATTTTTTCCTTTCTTTTCGATTAATGGACTAGCACCAAAATTTTCAAACATGAATTTACATTTATTATTTTTTTTTTTATTTTGCTTTTACACAATTATACAATTATGAATATTCTGTATTAAAAAAGAAATTCACTAATCAATTATTCCACTTAAAGTTAAAGTTCAAAATATTTTTCTTACGGAATAAAGTTCGTGCAAAATAATTATGATATCAAACAAGTATCGTTACTGGGCAATCTCAAAGTGTCACCGCATAAATTAGCTTATCAGTGATTAAAACCTTAACTGGATATGTTATCACTAATGTTTTTTTAATGACCCTAACTTTTATGTTATATAATATGGTTTATAGTACATGATCATCCATGAGCTTTCTCATTTTTTTCCTTTTTATCACAGGTGACACAGAATTTAACAAAGGGAACTCCTTTATTTTTTAATGGAAATTTTTTTTAATATTTGGTTAGTACGATTTTTAACCATCGATAAAAATCTTAAATATCCCATGACCATATTCAAAAAACGGATCTTTTTATGGTTATATATCGGAAACTAAAAAATTTACCATTTTCAATTCCTCCCCTTTAAGATTTTTTCCCACTTACATTGTTTTACAAAAAAAAAAAAAAAAATTTCTTTCTGATATGATTGTAAGATCTCATTCCCTTTTACTTTGAACCAAATTTGGTAAATAAACCTACTCCCTTAAAAAAAAATTGGCATTTCATCTTTTCCCATGATTGATGAGATGGCAAAAAATCTTCAAAATGGGGAAAAAGGAGATTTTAGGATTAATTCAGAATGGCAAAAAGAAAAAAAAAATTTTTTAAAGAATAAATTTTTGGGATGATGATTGATATCGTAATGTTTATGGAATCAAAAAAAAAAAAAAAAAAAAAAAGAGATAAGAAAATGCAATTGAATTAAGCTGGTAAAGATTAACAAGAAAAAAATTTTTAAAATAACAAAAAAAAAAAAAAAAACGCCCAAAATCAAACTAAACCTTGTAAAAAAGATCATGCAAATGATTTTTTTTTTGCATTTTTTTTAAAAAAGACTGATAAACAACGTCTTATTTTTTTTTTTTGTACGCTTGAGGTCATAATCTCAACTTTTTCGCAATATACAAATAAGGTTAGCCGTACAAGAACGTTACCAATAAGAGAGGGGAAAGGTTTTGTTCGTAACATGATATCGATAAATTTCAATTATGACACATTTCGAACATTGGAATCAATTATAAATCTCATTTTCCACTTTTTTTCCCAACCAAATTTGTGTTTGAACTAAAATCCTGAAATTCTAAAGAAATCCTTTTTTATTATTATTATTATTTTTATTTTTTTTTTCCTATTGAAATTTGCCACCAATGTAATATTGTCGGTTACCCGTGCGGGCGTTGTTTACGTTACCCCAAATTTAGTGTAAAGAAAGAAATGACGCAAATCCTATTGTTCCAATTAAAAAATTTATACTTTATCAACATTTTTTTAAACTACACATTATAATCCTTGGGAAAACTAATTTTCATCACCAGTTTATTCTCCATGTTGAAAATTGATGCTAACCATAATCAACCGTTAATTCGGCTGAAACACACTTAAATGGGGAAATTTCTTATTTTTTTTTTTTTTACCATCAAAAAATACTTTAAAATATACTAATCAAATCAATTGCTAATCAATCACAAATTGGTTTTTTTGTTACTATTGTCGAATATAAGTAATAGAATTTTTTAGAATAGCATACAACCAGAATGGGGATTTTAACTAAAAATTTTTTATTTTATACTCTCAACACAAACAATAACATTTTATATTTATTATAAAAGGATGCTGTGCCACGTAATTTTACCCATAGTCAACAAATCATGGCATCATTAACCATTACCACACTAATTATAATATAATTATATGGTTTCTTTTTTTTTTTATTTATATATCGGCAATTTATGGAAGCTTTAGAGTTTGACCCTCCTTCACGCGATGACAGTAAAAAAGTTTACAATAAAAGCCCGCTATTTTTTTGTTTAAAATTCTCGGAGAAATACTCGACCTTGTTTTCTTCTTAGCATAAAAGAATTTTAAAAAAATTTTTTTTTTTGTTCCTTTATTCCTTTATTTTTTTCACAATCTTCTTTGACTCATTGAATACCGACCTATCTTTCTTCTTTTTATATAAATATACTGAACAAAGAAAATTTTTTTTTTTTTTTTTTTTTTTTTTTAAAAATTTGATAGCTAATAAATTTTTTATGTTCTCTTTAAGAGTTACTTTTTAAAATTTTTTTTGTTAGCACATCAAGGAGTATATGACCCAAAAGTTATGTTCATTGGCTTATTATTATTATCATTAAAATCGTCTCTTGCAAAACAAATTTTTACCAAAGCTGAAATCCTTTCTTTTAAAAGAAAATAAACCCATTTTTTTTTTAAAAAAATTTTGCACGATACGAAACGAAAAATTCAAATTAGCAACGAACCATAACATTCATCAACACTTTATTTTTTTAAAAAAAAAAAAATCTATTTTCCCCCCATTTCTATTTTATATTATTTTCTCTTTCTCCTCTCTTAAAGAGCACTTCTAAAATAAAATAAAAAAAAACTGGTCGATTTTTTTTTTTTCTTTCCTAAATTGAATCGATAATCATGTCATTTCACTCTAGTGCGTCTGAACGAGTTTTACCACCCATCATGACACTTGACAAATCGTCCTCTGTTTCCCATTCCAATAATGGCGTGCCGGCACCAGTTTTGCCTCCAGTTTCTTGTCTCGCGCCTCCCATACCTCCTCTACTCTCTCCGATAACGCCACCGCCCGATTTTAACAAAAATTCATCTCGCAGTTTAACCTCTCTACACATCTCACAATCACAATCTTATATTTCTCCTCCTCAGTCCAAACGTACGTCGCCGCATTCTTCGGCTCACAGTCACTTTCATTTTCATAATGACGCGCCATCTTCTCAGCAACAATATGTTGACCAGCAACAATCGCAACCTTTCTCCCCCACAAGAGCTGCTGGCAGCGCGCCATCACAATTGGTCATGTCCACATCTCATATTACTCATCCCTCACATCATTCCAATCTATTGGTGAGACCAAATCACCATCCTTATTCTCATCCCATGTATCATCAAGGAAGGCCAGGGGTTGATCCTGCTAGCGAATTGTTGGCCGAAAAGCGACGTCGTAATGCCGGTGCTTCTGCACGTTTCAGAGATCGTCGAAAGCAACGTGAGAGAGAAATGCAAGAAAAATGTCAATTTCTTGAAAGAAGGGTTCAAGAATTGGAAAGTACGGATAGTGCCAAACGTATTGCTGAATTAGAAAAGAAATTGGAGGATGCTAATGAAGAAAAAAACGTTGCAAATCAAAAATTACAAGAATTAGAGAAAGAGGTAAGGCATCCGTTTTTTACGAAAATCGTTTTTGTCATGTGATCCATGTTTTAAGAGATCTTTACTAATTTTCGCGCCATGACGCGTCATTTTTGTTATGTTAGAATCAACAGTTTCGTTCTCGATTCGAACGTGATTTAGGCTTTCTCACACCCAATTCTTCTTCGGGAGAATATGATTCGAAAGATATTTTATTTGATGACA